TGCATAGATATCGAATATCTCCTCCCAGCCCCTACAACAAATACATGACCTGTCGGATCTCCAGAACAGGCTGATCAATGCTATGTAGCCAGGCTTATGTTCTACTTTGTGTGCTCCTCAGCCAAAAGCCACCTGATCAGAGGAGTTTTCTGATCAAAGTGGAAGCAGGACGGCCTGATGTCGAGAACTTCCTCTCATTGTTCCATCAATTGGGTAAGCAGAATGAAAGATAGTAAAATGAACATGTAACTACCTTGTCTTCACTCTATTAAATCGTGGAGAGCGTCTTCAGACTAATTTTCTAAATGCAAAAGCTTATAATGCAGATTGTATGTACAAAATAATTAGAAGATTTATTCTATAAAACACTTGTAAGTCATACTTGTAACTAAATAGAATTGAAGCATCTAAACAGTCAAATTAGATTAAGCAATCTATCTGGTAAAATCCAGGAATTCACATTGGATGGATGCTTTAGGATTAAATTTTAAATGAGGGTTAATTGAGTCTGTAAATTTGCAGGAAAAAGCATGCTTTTAATCTGCATAAACACTCTTCTGTTTACATCACCATATTTACATATAGGATGAGACCCGGAGTGCTTCCTAAAAGGTGCTGAGTGCCCTTGACTCCCCTAAAAAGCAATGACATTTGAGGGTGCATAGCACCTCACCTTATCAGGCCCCAAATGAGTAAAGAAAAGGATGCAATTCACTCAAGAGCCACTACTGTCATCTCATTAGTATTTGTCATTTTATGAGCAGCGGACAATCATTCCTAGTAGGCTCACACTTGCATTCACTCCCAGTCCCCATCTTAGCTGTGAAGTTTAAAATCTGAAATTTTCCCTTTTTTCACTGAAGTTTGCACAGTGCCTTGAAGATGAAAAGCTATATATAAGTGCTACTGTTGTTGTTATTATAACTAGTGTGTTTTACAAAGGCATACAACAATGAGGAAATTACATAAGCTTAATGAAAACCTGGGGGAGGAGGGGAAGAGGCTCTGCATGCTGCTCTTGCCCACAGGCACCACCACCCCGGGCCAATGGGAGTGTGGAGCCGGTGCTCAGGGTAGGGACAGCACGTGGAGCCCCGTGGCCCCCACGCCTAGGAGCTGGACCTGCTGGCTGCTTCCGGGGCGCAGCGCGGTACCAGGACAGGTAGGGAGTAGCCTGCCTTAGACCCGCAGCACCGCCGCCCGGACTTTTAATGGCCCAGTTATCAGTGCTGACCGGAGCTGCCAGGATCTCTTTTTGACCAGACATTCCAGTTGAAAACCGGACACCTGGCCACCCTAGACACGTGTATTCTTTACTGGTTTGAAAAGTCTAAACATCCTTCTGCATCCAGGGCACTCAGTGAATGTATTTTAATTAACACATTCTTTAAGCAGAACAGATTTTCTCCAAAATGAGCATTAGGGAGACCAAAGGTAGATAACTAAAAAGAACTAGCTGACAGTTTAAAACAATTTTTAAATTACTAATGCTATTAACACACAAAAGTACAGGAATGTCATAGCAGCATTAAGGAACATATGGGCCTTACACTCAGTTATGTAGTCAGACAAACAAGCATACTGCATGGCTGTTTAGAGAATGACTAACTACCAAGATTCGAAGACAAAAGGGTTTGTTGTGGTTATGTTGCCTCCACTCCTGCCCCACCCTTGTGTGCACATATTGTTCTAAAATAAACTATAACCCATATTTAAAAACAAAAAACAAAAACAAACCTTAATATTCCTAAACAGAGTGAAAGCAGTTCCCTACATTCTGGGACCAGTCAGGAATGAGTAGTTTAGAGCAACCACTACCTTCTGGCTGCTTGACGAATACTGGCAAACTTTAAGGGAGTCCCATCCCTCTCTCTAGGCTGAAGGAATGCAAGTCATGATGATGATGGGATCCTCAATCCAAGGAGGGATTCTCTGGGCTCTAACAGGTACAAAGAAACTTTTGAAAGCTCCATAACACAAAAGTTAAACCAAAATACTTAACCACCAACTGCAATATTATTAATGAAAAGTCAATGCTTTTCAGCAATTTGTGCACCAAAACAACTATTGTTATTCATAACATTACTTTCCTTCTGCAAGCAATAAGGATCTGACAACTGAAAACAATGTTAATTGATTTACTCTCCTCTGTTCCTTCCCTTCAGCTAATAGTTTCTTATGTGAAGCTTTTATTGTGTAGGTATGTTATTCTGAAAAGCAAATATTTGTGACACTGGTATACAAAACAAAACCAAACATAATTAAACTACTCTCTTTGTTTTGCAGATATTTCCTTCAATGCCAGCACCACGGGGTTAAACTTGCAGACAAGCCTTGACAGCTTCCATTACAGATGAGTTCATGATGTTAACTACTGTTGATCACCCCACTAAATCTCATTTTCAAGAATACAAGCAGAAGAAAGCATCTCACAAGAGAATTAACAGGTAACATTAAACTGCATATTAAAATGGTTAGTCTGAACAGCAGCTATAAAAAGTTGTTAGTTACCCAAAATAATCCACAGAAAAGTTGCTTCACAAAAGTCTTTTCTAAAATATTTTTTTAAATATAAACATAACTCACTATTAATTAAATACAGCTCAATAAACTACATAACTTTATTAATTAAATGAGGCTTTGTAAATTATGGAGGCATAAAGAAAAAGCAATGCAATTTGTCTACACTGGAGAGGCATCTCTAAAAGCATGAGGAAGGCAGAATAGAAGAAATATGTATAGTTCTGGAAACTTAAATACACAAAGACATTAAAATTAAATTTAAATGTAATTGTCAAATTAAAAGGGAATTCAGAGAAAAGAAAAAATGAAAAATAATTCTTGAGTACTGTACTTTTCACGTGGTGTAAGAAGTGAGGTTGGTTGGGATTACTCCATCTTTGGCCTACATTTTGGAGTGCCAGAACACGTGCCAATAGGGTGACTGACCAGATAGCAAGTGTCTAAAATCAGGACACTTTTTTTCAGGGGGTATAGTCGCTATACAACACAAAGCCCCTAATGTTGAGATGCCTGGTCACCCTACAGGCCAAGAAACTACATCTATCAGGTGAGTACCCTTTGATGTACCCTTTTCTCTGTGTCAGTTGAAAAATGTAGTGATTATAGGAGTTTTCTGAGATATACAGAATCGTCTTCTTTCCACCAAATTGTGTGTGCATGCTTGGGAAAGCGAAGGTAATATCTGAAAGCAGATCTTCCACTCTTTTGTACTTAATGTAGTCTATACAAACTGAAATGTAATTCCCTTGGTACTTGTTTAGACAGCTTTTAGGTCCCTTCTCACAATGAATTGATTTGGTGACTAACAAAGATGGACCTAAACCAAAATCCAAATATGAGGGATTCAAAATCCAAGGCCAAATCTAAGTTTTGCAGCTTGAGCTCTATATTGAGTTATAAATTCAAATTTGTGATTAGTCTGCATATAAGAGAGTATCATATAAATGAAAGTCAAGTCAGAAGAACCATGGAACAGAGAAAAAGAATTAACAAAATGTTTGGAAGAACTGAAGTATATACAAATTTTAAAATGTTAACTGAAGTATGCACAAGCAATCTGATGAATGGCTATGACTGAACTGGTTAAAAAAACAGCATAAACCAGACAAAAAAAAAGTCTCATAGTTACTGTGCCATATTATAGCTGAAAACTAGTAGTGTTTAAAGTACTGACAAACAAACAAGTCCCTCACCCTGTACCGTCAGTTTACTGTCCTTTATCCTACAGCCTTGCTTTTCACTGAATCAGATCAGTGACAGGCAGAAAGACTGGAAAAAACCCTCCATGCTGAAAACTTCACTACCCTCAGCCAGCAGGAAATTCCAACTGCTCCATGCACAGGAGCCAAAAAGAGAACTACTGGAACGAAATGTGGAGCTTAGTGTGAAAACCGTGTCGTGATCCCTCTGAACTTCAGTTGAGAGACAGAGGGGAGATGATTATGTGAAGCAAGCTTGGCTAGAGTTTTGTATTTCAGTGAGAGTGGATGGCCAGGTTGGGGAATGTTTATTGGGCTCCAAATTATTAGAAATAAGAGCATTCAACATGTTTTTTTTTTTAAACATGAAGTAATAATCCCCTCAGGATGTTGAGGGGAGGAGGCAGGCAGGCACTGAGGACAGATCTACAAGGGAAAATGCAACACATGAATGTCGCTTATCTAATATGTTTTCTAATGTGATGCATTTTCCAATGTGTATATAGGTTTGTCGCGTTTCATATCATGTTAATACCAGTTAGACAGGACAAGCTGCCTTTTCAAATGTTTTCAGCTGGTCATAGCTAACAGCTAAACCACAACCATTTAACACGTTTTTAAACAACTGGCTTTTAGCCACACCACGTTAACATGTTAGTTAACATACTCTTCCCAGCGCAAACAAGGCCTAAAACCCTAACCGTGCAAACTGCTCCATGCTAAATTTATGGGGCTCCCTGCGGCGCAGGGGCCCGCCCATTTCGAGTAGCTTTCATGCTGCGAGCCGGCCTGATTAACAGCCTCAAAACAAACCATCAGCTCAGCCCTACGGATTCCCCGGCCCCGCCTAAGAGTTTGGCCATCCTGGCATCAATCAGGCACGCAGAGGTGGTGCGCGGGCTGGTACATTTCCCTGGCAGTTTTGCAAGGGCGGGACAGATTCCCCAGTGGAGGGGCCAGGCTCGGGAGAGCCACCAGTTTCGATGTGTCCCTTTCCCCCAGTTAACCCTGCAAAGCTGGGCAGGAGCCGAGCGTCTGCTCCCTTAAAGCCGGCCGGGTTCTTCCCTCAGTCTGAGCTGGGCGGACTAACTACGGGGACTGGAAAAACCTTAACCCCCCCTGTTCACGCACAGATCTGCATCCCCCCCGGTCCTTACTGCAAATACAGCTCGCTGGGCTCGGGCCGGCCAGCTCCAGCCGGGGACGGGCCGGGTGGCGAGCCCGGCCCCCGCAGCGAGCCACCCCAAAGCGGGCGCGAAGAAGTTGGCAGCAACTCACGGATTTTAACTCGGCGGTGGTCGAGGCGGGCGCTCAGAGCGCGCAGGGAGCCCAGGCGGCGCTGGAGCCGGGCGCTGCGTCGACACAGGGCGTCCGCTTGGCTCTGGATCTCGCCGAAGATGTCGCTGGCGCAGCGGGAGAGGTCGGAGAGCTGCCAGAGCAGGGAGACCAGCGAGTGCGAGCTGACCTGCTCCAGCGAGCCGAACAGCAGCAGCCCCGCGCCGCGCCGGCGCCCGCCGCTCCCAGCCCCGCCGGCCGCCTGCGCTCGCTCTTTGTCCCCCGCTTTGGCTGGTCCCAGCAGAGCATCTCCTCCGGCATCTTCCAACCTGCACAGCTTCAGGGGCTCCACCGTCCTCAGCGGGAAAGGCATCTCCGGGGGTTACACTTCCCGGGAGCAAGAAATCCTCATTCAAAACCAAGAGCCACAAGAGTTCAGAGGGAAATCCGACAATCCACAAACTTTTCCCCACCCTCAACTCCGCAGAGAGATTACGGGGGGAAGAGACTTCACGCTGCACCCCGGGAGAAGCCCTGAAAGGAGCTCACGTGCGGGAGGTGCAGAGAGAAGTCCTGCTGGCCATGGGGCAGCAGGAGGCACATTGCACTCAGGGAGACAGAGGGGAAAGAAGCTGGCTCAGTGGGAGGGGGGAGGAGGAGAAGCGGTGAAGTTGTTTGCAGCGAGGAGACAGGAAAACAGCCGGAGTTTCTCCCCCCAAAGTGGAGCTGGGGAGGAGGAAGCGGGGGGTGGGGGGTTAGAGTGCCCTGGCTACAGCCACAAAGAAGGGAAACCAGGAAAAGAAAAGCGGAGGAGAGAAAGGGAAATAAAAAGCCCAAAACAGCCACCTGGGGCTCCCTGAGCTGCTACACTCACTCCTCTGAACCTCCACCCAAACTCTAAACCAAACCCGGAAAGCGAAAGCAGGAGGGAGAGAGGGGGAAGGGGGAAATAAACACGCACACCAACAAACCTGGGAAAAGAAAAAGAGGCCGCCGCCTACCTGTGGCTTCCCGAACTGGAGCCTCTGCCAGAGCCTCACCCCTGGCAGCCAGCAGCAAAGGTGAAAAGAAAGCCTGCCTCCACTCTGCCAGCCCCTCTGGGGACCAGCTGAAGTGGGATCATCTCTGCCTCGCCCACCCGGTATCAGTCAGAACTTCACTCTTCCCAGAAGGGAAAACTACCCTCCTTTGTCTTCTCCTACCAACCAAAACTTGACTCTACCCACAGGGGTTTTCAACCTTTTTTCATTTGCAGACCACTAAAAAAAATTGAATGGAAAGGCAGACCCCTTTGGAGATGTTAGGCATGGTCTGCAGCCCACAGGTTGAAAACCACTATTCCATGATAACCACCTTTCACGCAGGGCCAGCTTTAGGAAGTGCAGGGCCCGATTCGAATACCCGGCGGCGGTCCGGGTCTTCGGCGGCAGGTCCTTCACTCGCTCCGGGTCTTCCGTGGCACCAAAGGACCCGCCGCCGAAATGCCGCGGAAGACCCGAACCACCGCTGGGTGAGTAAAAAAATTAAAAAGGCGCCTAAGTTAGGTGCTCTTCTTTAGGGCGCGGGGCCTGCTTTCATGGACCCCTGAGACATAGTCTGCAGACACCCCATACACACGCAAGGAATCCATGGACCACTGGTTGAAAACCATTGCCCTAGAGAAAAACAGGAGTACTTGTGGCACCTTAGAGACTAACAAATTTATTTGAGCATAAGCTTTCGTGGGCTACAGCCCACTTCTTCGGATGCATAGAATAGAACATATATCGAGGAGATATATATACACATACCGAGAGCATGAAAAGGTGGGAGTTGTCTTACCAACTCTGAGAGGCCAATTAAGTAAAAGAAAAAAAAATTAGCCCAGTACAGACAGTTTGATAAGAAGTGTGAGAATACTTACAAGGGGAGATAGATTCAATGTTTGTAATGGCTTACTTCAAAAATTATTCTTCTCTTACTTAATTGGCCTCTCAGAGTTGGTAAGAC